GGTGTCAGGAAGAGAAAATGGATGTCTGCTGCTGTGGTGAGACTCCTGTGCCCCAAAAGCTGTTCTGCTGTGAGCCCAAACCCATCTCGTGTCTCTTAGAAAAGTGTCTAGCCCCTGGAGAAAAGGGCAAAAGTTTCACACCTCCAAGGAGTTACTTAAACTATAATAAATATGGAAAAATCATAAAAAGAAAACATGCATTTTGGAGAGAATTTGTTTTGCAACTCTGTCCTGTTGCTCCAAGAGGGCATCTGTCTGTCTTTGAACCTAAAAGTTTTCTGTCCTCTTGACTAGATATCCTGAAATTCCACATAATTGCTCAGCTTGCTGCATATTAGTGCCTGCAATTAATGAGATCATCGTCCATATTCCTTCCTCTGTCAGCTTCTGGGAAAAACAGTGCTTGGAGAAGTACACAAAGGAGATGAAAAGGAAGTTGCTTATGAATTATGAACAGCCTTTCAGGCTGGTGTTGTTTCACGGTGCTGTCACTCTGTTTTAATTATGTAATTCAGATGGAATGGTGGTTTTTTTTAAAGCCCTGTTAGTGTTTGATCACCTTTCAGAGGTAACACTTAGCTGGTGTTTGTTGAATTCTCATTTTTAACAACAAGAGCGAGTGCTTTGTTGCCCTTTCTGATTAAATAACGGGGAAGGAAGATGCTGAGCAGAGACAATACTCAAGAGGCTTGGCCAGTCTGGGAGTTACCTGGGTGATCACTTGGGTATTTTGTGGGTATTTTGTGTATTTTGTGGGTATTTTTTGGGTATTTTTTTGGTATTTTGTGTATTTTGTGGGTATTTTGTGTATTTTGTGGGTATTTTTTGTGTATTTTGTGGGTATTTTGTGTATTTTGTGGGTATTTTTTGTGTATTTTGTGGGTATTTTGTGCATTTTGTGGGTATTTTTTGTGTATTTTGTGGGTATTTTGTGAGTATTTTGTGGACATTTTGTGGGTACTTTTTGGGTATTTTGTGGGTATTTTGTGGGTATTTTGTGGGTATTTTGTGAATATTTTGTGGGTATTTAGTGGGTATTTTTTGGGTATTTTGTGTATTTTGTGGATATTTTGTGTATTTAGTGTATTTTGTGTACTTAGTGGCTGGCATGAGGGGTGCAGCTGCTTGCTGGGTCACTGGTGAGCCCCAGAGCGTGCAAACCCAGCCAGCATCTCCCTGGGCATTCCACTCTCCTGCTGGTGGAAGGTTCCTTTCCTTTTCCTGTGCTTTCTTACCCCTGTGCCCCAGGGCCCCTGCACCACCGCAGGCAGCGCTGCCAAGGCCGGGTTTATTTTGGGCTGGGCTGTGTAAATCGAGCCTCTGGTCCAGCCTTGTGATCCTGGGGTTGTCCCTGCTCTGCTTGGGGACGGTCCCGGGCCGTGTCCCCCGGGCTCTGTCCCCAGGGCTGTGCTTGCTCATCCCCTGGGCTCTGTCCCCCAGACTGTGTCCCCTGGGCTGTGTCCCCTGGGCTGTGTCCCCTGGGCTCTGTCCCCTGGGCCGTGTCCCCTGGGCTCTGTCCCCAGGGCTCTGTCCCCAGGGCTCTGTCCCCTGGGCTGTGTCCCCTGGGCTCTGTCCCCAGGGCTCTGTCCCCTGGGCTGTATCCCCTGGGCTGTGTCCGGGCCGTGTCCCCTGGGCTCTGTCCCCTGGGCTCTATCCCCTGGGCTCTGTCCCCTGGGCTCTGTCCCCTGGGCTGTGTCCCCCGGGCTGTATCCCCCGGGCTGTGTCCCCTGGGCTCTATCCCCTGGGCTCTGTCCCCAGGGCTCTGTCCCCTGGGTTCTGTCCCCCAGGCCGTGTCCCCTGTGCTCTGTCCCCTGGGCTGTGTCCCCTGGGCTCTGTCCCCCGGGCCGTGTCCCCTGGGCCGTGTCCCCTGGGCTGTGCCCGCTCATCCCCTGGCACGGAGGGGCTCTGGGGGGCTCTGCCCCTCTCCTTTGTGCCAGGGCTGGTGGTCCCTGGCACAGATCACCCAGCCGGGTGGAGCTGCCCTGTCCCCCTGCCCTCAGTGGGGCACGCCGGTGTCACCTTGTCTGCAGCCTTGGCTTTGTCTCCCTTCCCCTGCAGAGAAACTTTCTGCCCAGGGCTTGAGAGTTTGGGCTGCCAGCCTCGGCGTGGGCTCCGAACCTTGCCAGGCAGAGGGTGCTGGAGGCTTTTTTGGGGTTTTTTTTTGGGTTCCCCAGGGGCTGCAAGGCGGTGTCCTGGCTGTGCCCAGTCCTGCTGCCTCTTTGTGGTTTTGGGCTGACCCCGTGGGAAACTAGGAATACTGGGAAGTGTTCCCAAGGACCTGCAGTGACAGGACAAGGGAATGGATTCAAACTGAGAGTGGGTTTGGAGGAGATATTGGGAGGATGTTCCTCCCTGGCACAGGGTGCCCAGAGCAGCTGTGGCTGCCCCTGCATCCCTGGCAGTGCCCAAGGCCGGGCTGGGCAGGGCTGGGAGCACCTGGGACAGTGGAAGTGTCCCTGCCATGGCAGGGTGGCTCTGGATGGGATTTGAGGTCCCTTCCAACACCAGGCAGGCTTCAGGTGTGGAAAATGTGAGGTTTGGAGGAGCTGTTAATTATGGGATAGGCTGGTGCTTTTTAGATAGTGTCCCTGGTTAGGGAGAATAGTTCTGCTGGGGGTGGATAAGGTTCTTTGGAGGGTTTGTGCTTTATCTGCCACGCAGAGGGTGCTGTTCAAGTTTATCTCTGTGCAGCTTTCTTTGCTCTAATTATGCATCACTGAGCCATTGCTTCAAGGCGGGGCTGGTTTTACATTTTAAAGAATATTTTAGAATATTTCTTTTCCCTTGATGTTATGTTTCTCTCCGAGAGGGATTTCCCCTTCCCCCACTCAAAAAGAAAAACAAAGAGGATTATCACTGTGCACTTCTTTCAGAGTTTTCAGTCCATCTTTGAGAATTCGAACCTAGAGTCTGTCATTTTAATAAGATTTCAGTTCTCTTTGGTCGTGTGAATTCATTACTGAGTGAAAACCCAAGGCCAAGCTGAGAGTCCCCCTCCCTCCTGTCCCCACTGGAGGTGGTTTTGAGGTGGCTCAGGCTCAGGGGACTCTCAGGAGGACGCTGTGCTCCATCTGCTGGGTGATGTTTCTCCTCTCCAGAGCGATCCAAGCCTTGCCCCCAATCCCTGTGTTTGAAGGAAGGGGCACTGGGGCACTCCCTGGGCTGCAGCTGGGTTTGAGGTGCCCCCTGAGTGTTTCAGTGATGGACCTCAGTCGTGCTTTTTAACAGGAGGGCAGCTCTTCCTCTCTTGGCTCTGAAAAATTAATGGCTGCATCCTCCCGAGCTCCCTGAGCTGCATCGTGGTGGGAGTGGGAGTGGGAGTGGGAGTGGGGGCTGCCCTGCCTGTCCCTGAGCATGTTATCATGATATTTCCTGAAAAACCTTTTGTTAGGATTTTTTTCCTCCCTGAGAGCTGAGGGCCTCAGGAAAGAAAAGTAAATAATAATTACTTATCATAATTATTTATTAATAATATTAATAAATAATATTATTTGTTGCTGTGGAATGCAACAGGTGTATTTTTTAATTGGTCTGTGTGGATTGTTTTCACTTGGTGACCAATCACAGCCACCTGTACATATCATATAGAATATGATATATATTATAAGATAATATATAATATATCATAAGATATATTATAATATATATCATAAGATAATAAATCAGCCTTCTGAAATGGAGTCAGGCCTCGTGTCTCCACACACGGAGTGTTCACCTCACCTCAACAGAGCAGCACAGGCAGGGAGCAGCATCCCCAGCTGCTCTGCACAGCCCTGGCCCTTCCTTTGTGCTGGAGAGCCCTGGCCCTGCCTGGCCAGTGCATGCAGGTGACCACAGCAGCCTCCTGCCTCTGCTGAACCACCAGCAGCAATTAGATACTTAATTCTTTCTTATTTTACACCTCCATTTTTACGGGTGATTTCATTCCAGTGCAAGTTCTTCCTGGCTTCTCCAGTCCTGTCAAATGGCTTTGTAGCTGTCTAAGGCGGTAATTAAATTGCAGAGTCATCTTGCTAAGGCTTAAAAAAAGCTGGGTGAGAGATCTGGTTGCTGGCCCTGGAGTTTCTCATGTGTGGCTCCATACGTGCAGTTAATTTACTGCCAGCAGACAAAACCACAAGTTTCCTCCTTGCTGCTGGTAACCTGAGCTCCACTGCTGGATTCACTGTCCCTGATGGTCACGGCAAACGAGATCACACTAATAGCTGATTGTTAATCACTGCCAATGGCTGTAATTAACCTGCTCTTAGGAAGGCAGCTACAAGCACTGTCTGTCCATCCAGCACGGAGCAGGGCCCTGTGCCTTGGGGCAGATAATGCTTGTTGGAGACTTCATTTCCTTTTGCAGATCAATGCAGTTTGGAAAAACGGCTGGGAGGGAGGTTTGGCCCCTTCCTGCCTCCACCCCAGAGCTGTTTGCTTTGCTCTGTGCAGGAAGGGTTTGGGGTTAAAGCAGGGACTGTGCTGTCCCCTCACAGCCACAGCTGAGCGAGACCCTCTCCTCCAAGGGCCCCAAATCCATCTCTGGATAGTCCTGGTGTCCCCCCATATGTCACTTTTGGATGGCTTTTAAGATGGTGAGTGTCTTGTGGCTGTGTATCCCTGCTGGGTGTCTCCACAGGGATGGAAGGATCCCTTTCCACAGCAGCATCACACCTCACCAGCAAATTCACCTCTTGGGAGACTGGTTAAACGGGGAAATGCAGGGTCTGGAGCGTGCACCAGGAGTCAGTCAGCACAGCCTGCTGCTCTCAGGGACCTCCTGGGGCAGAGCTGTGCCAGGGCAGTGTCCTGGCTGCACTAGGGTGGTCATTTTGCTTGGCACATCTTAAATACCCCTGGAACTTGAATGCAGCTGGCAGGAGTTGCCTCTGTGTTTGTTGTGAGGGATGCAGTGACTGGCACATGCTTTTGCTTGTGCAGGAATGGCCAGACCTTCCCTGTGCTCCTGTTGTGCCAGGTTTTGCCTAATGGCTGTTAGTTTTTGCTCTCCTTTTCAGGTACCTTTGCTGAGAGGTGGCAGAGCAGCCTCAGGACACCACCATGATGGAGGATCACGCACCTGGCCAGGAAAAACACTTCTCATCAGGTGAGCACGCCCAGGAGGTGGTGAAGGACCTGCCTGGGCCAGTGCTGAGCTAAGGAGGGAGAGGGAGAAGAGCATGGTGGTGCAAAGGGCCTGGAAGGACACTGTGGGTCAGCTGGCTGCTGCCAGGGCACCACGGGGAGCCCTCAAGATGCTCCCACATGCACAGTGATAGCAAAATGCTGCTTGTGGGTCTCAGTGTTCACTGAGCAGAGTAACCCCTGGTATCCAGGCTAGGGGCAGTCCCACTGCTGCAGCTTTGCAAGCGTGTATTTGTGTTCACTCCTCAGTTTGCTAAGGAAACACAGCACTGTTTTTATCTGGGGTCACAGCTCGAGGATGCTGCTTGCTGCCTGCTTTCCTCACCTGCACAGGGAGCTGGGGACAGCTGAACAGAGAGCTCTGGGAGTGGGGGCCATGCTAGAGTCTTCCTCACCATGTTTCAGACCCGCATTTCTTCAGAAGCTTTTCCTTTCTCATCCCGCCGTGTTCCACAGCTGAGCTTGGAAACCCACACTGCCAGCAAACCTGGTGGGACTCACTCCTGGCTGTGCTCCATATAAACATCATCTTAATTTCCTTTTCTTGAATGCTTTGGACACCTCTTTGACCAGATGAATGGGTGGTCTCTGTCCTGGAGGGGATCCACAGCCTCCATCCATGCTGGCCCTGCAGCGCATTGCGGTCCAGCAGCTCCTCTCAGCTTGTTTCACACATCACAGCTCCCAGGGATTTCCCTTCTTCTTTTTCCAAATCACTTTTTCCAGCTCTCATTATTTGATTTGCCCGCACCCTTGCTGAGGGGAGACTTGTGCCTCTTGCCCTGCTCTTCCAGAAGACTTTTGCCACCGTTTCTTGGCACAGAACATTGTCCTGCACCATCCCCAGTCACAAACTCGGGCTGGTTTGCAGTCCTGGGAGTGCTCAGCCTGCTCTGGGAGGGAGAGGACAACAGTGCCTCAGAAGCTGCACATCTTTTCTTACGTTGCTGAGATCTCCTTGCCTGCTTGTGCCATGCTTTGCTGCTTCTGCCTGTCCAGTTCACTGGGCTTTTCTTTTGCTGGTGGGTTTCTGTTCGTTCCTTTTGGTGGTCACCCCGGTGCTTTTGGTTGGCATTTTCACGCTTTGCTTGCTTTTAGCTCGGGTGGTTTTTGCTCTCCAGCTGCAGTTTCTTGCAGCTGTGGATCTGGGCAATCAGAGTTGGTAACCCCCAGGCCCCAGCTCATAGCCAAGGACTTGTTGTAAGTATTTGAATGTTTTCCAGGCTATCCCCTTCAGATTCCAGTCGATGATGGATCGGATGAGCCTGTTTCTGAAACATCTGACGCTAAGAGCACCCCAACTACGGAAGGTGGGAGCTCTTTGACTTTCTGCTTTGGAACCATGATGGATGGGGTCGTGGTAAACCTCATCCTGGTGGGCTTCTCAGGAGGAGAAACCCCTTTGTTAGTCTCATCACTAGTAGTGTTTGCGGTGCTGCAGGAGGAGATCATGAGCTTGAAAGGTGCAGAGCGGGCTGCAAAGCAAGAAAGGTGAATTGTTCGTTGCAGCTCAGGAAGTTGCTTGTGGTTTTTTTCCTTCAGGCTGTGCAGGGGCTCTGCAAGGTCCTGCCAGTGCAGCTGGGAGCAGTCCTGGGTTGAGTGACACAGGTTTGTGTCACTGTGCTCCCCAGGTCCTGAATGCCTTGTGGGTAGAAAGACTCTAATTCCAGAGCGGTCTGGAGACTTGTTCACTGTTGTAATTATCTTCACTTTTTGCTGCTTTAATCCCAAGAATCTGCCTTTGGAGACTTGAGGTAGAGGCTCTAGCTTGCAAGGTTGTTCTGAAAGGCAGGAAGGCTGGGCAGAGATGCTGAGCAGTTCCAGCCCTGTCCTGCTGAGCGTGGGCTGAGCGATTGTCGGGAAAGTGCCTCAAGAAATCAGGACACAAACCCCATCTGCTGCAGGAGGGGAATGTTACCCTGCTCTCCAGTTGGAGTGGGACTGTCAGGACGAGCAGCCACCCCTGTGGCAGGTGGAGCTGGGTGTCCCTGTGCCCCAGAGCACCATGCAGCCACACTGGGGTGTTTTGTGCAGGTCCAGGGGAGCTGTTCTGTCCTGCTCCACACCAGCCGTGTCTCCACGCAGGATTGCTGTGCACCAGGGGCTGCTTTTAGTGCTGGATTTTTTTGGACAAAAAAGGCAAAGCTTTCAGAAGTGTAGGGAGCACGTTGTGGCAGGGGGCACCTCGTGGTGTCCCTGTGGCTCTGGCTCTGCCTTGTCATGCTTAGCTGTTCCCTCCCCTGGCTCGAGGAGGGAGCTGAGTGCTTCTCTGAGCAGAAAGTTCTTCAGGCACATCCTGGCCTCCAGAGGGCTTTGCCTCTCAGCAGCTGTGTGAGAGCTGTGTTGTTTTTCAGATGCCACAGCACCTTTAGTGGAGGAAGGAGACCACGAGGATCAGGGTGGTGTGGAGCAGCACGGGGAGATCCCAGAAGGAACCACAGGTGAGGGAGACCAAGGTGCAGCTTCATCTCTTGCTGCAGACAGAGCAGAGAGCTGGACTGGTCGGTGCTGTGGGACAACACCACGAAACCTCTCACAGGGACACTGCTCCCGGTGCTGCTTCCTTCTTCTCCAGACAATTCCTCACTTAGAGCTCTCCTCTTCCTTCCCCATCCTGGGGGGAACTCGCAGCCTTTTCTTCTCTCTTTCTCTGCTCCACATCTGACAATCCTTCTGTCTGGTGTCTCTGTGGTGGCTTTGGCTCCCACCTCCAGGCTCCTACCTGCAGATCCAGGCTGTTGCTGTGCCAGCAGCCCCTGGGTGCCTGTCCTGCAGCACTTGGGCTCTTTGGAGTGGCAGGTGAAAACCAGGCCACTGCAGCAGTGCTTTTAAGGGTAATGCAGAGGAAGTGAAGTGACTAATTCAGCCTGAACGCCCTGTGGGCAGTCACTGCACCTGGGCCTGGTTTTGCAAGGAAGGATGGGGCCTTCCAGAGGCAGAGCAGGGAGTGACTGTGGCAGTGCTGTGCGTGGGAGAGCAGGATCTGGGAGGGCAGGTCTGTGTGTCAGAAACGAGGATGTGTCCCCTGTGCCACAGCCAGTGGCTTTCCCTGGAAGCATCAGGCAGGACCTGAGAAAAGCAGCAGGTAGAAAAGGATTCTGCCAGTGCCAAGCACTGAAACAAACTCGCAGCAGTGAAATTTCTGTGCTGCATCCAGTCTCTGAGCTGGTGGTGGAGCCCTGGGGTGAAACACGGGGGCTCTGATGCAAGATCTGACTGTCCCAGGGAGCCAGTGTATCCTAAACTGCTTGGAAAAAAATGAGGAAAACAAAAGAAGTCTTAGTTTGACTGGAGAACTGTGGCATACCAATATAATTGTTGAAGCTAGTTTGAAAGTAGTCAAAGAATAAACTGAAAAAATGCTGGTGGAGACAAACCATCATCACTGTGAAGAAAACCGTGCTTCTCTGATGTACCTGTAGTCCTGAAGTTCAGGATTTCTCTAGATTTGTATCAGGCTTGGAATTACTGGTCTCACACAGCCTTGGCAGGGTTCACAGGCTGGTCACAGACACCAAGAAGGTGAGCTCAGGTAAGAGACATTCATGGGAGCACTGCTGGCCATTAAAGGCCAGGTGGGGGTAGAAGAGGATATACATCCACAAGTTTCCTTGCTCCTTAACAGCCTGTTTTCTGCCTGGAAGAGCTTGTACTAACCTGCCATTTGGGATGTGGAAGCTGGTGAAACACTGCTCTGGTCTGCAGGGCACTGCTGAACAGATCCACCCAGACCCATCATCGCTGTGGGCAGATTTCCTTTCTGATGCTGCCCTGCTGTGACACAGCAGAGATCCTGCTCATTCTGCTGGGCAGCCTCAGCAGGGAGGCAAATTCATCCTCCAGGCACATGCTTAAACTTAACTCTTATTTTGATCATGTTTTTCCCCTTCTTTCTCCGGCCTGGGAGCAGCTGAAGAGGCGGGCGTAGGAGCCACTCCCAACCTGGAGGACCATGCTGCAGGAGATGCCACTCAAGGTGGGTGAATTGTCTGTCACTGGGACCAGTCGTTGCTGCCCACGTGTGCAACTGGTTGGTGGTGGCTTGGGAATTCAGTTCTGTGAGGAAATGCTCTGCCCTGCTCAGCAGTTGTGCAGCTCTCCCTGTTCCTGGCAGAGGAGGGCCATACACGCTTGGGATGTTCCAACATACTCAATTCAGGGAATTGCAGCTCCTCATACACCAGATTTCCCTCTCAGATGGCCAAAGTCAAGCTGCTTGTTTGTTCAGCTGTGTTCTCCAGGCTGGAAAAGCTGGTGGACAGAGCTGGGATGTGCTGGGGCCAGAGGAACTGCTCACATTGAGCAGAGGCAGTGCAGGCCCTGTGCTCGCACATGAAACCAGCCAGTTGTTTAATTACTGTGACTTTCTAAAGTAAAACAGGACTCAAACCTCACTCAGACCCTGACTTCAGCATGAAGGGATTTCTCTCCTCATCCCAGTCGTGGGGAATGTGAGTGAGGAGGGCAGACACAGTGGGCAGCGCGTGTTCCCACAGCATTCATTATCTGCTTGGATGGGCTGAAAATTATCCAGGGACCATTTGGCTACCTGGAAAGTTTCTCTTGACTCTTCTCAGTTCAGACTTGATGGAAAATTGGTTTTCCCAAGGCTCCCAGTGCTGGCTTGATTCCATGGGGCAGACTTAGGGGTTGAGACTCCCTGTGGTGTTTCTACACTAATTCTGTGTGTTGCTTAAGATCTTAGTCAAAAGCCATTTTGTGAAGCAGTTTCCCATGCAGTAAACATAACAAATCCCTCCACTTGAGCAGTGTCTTTCCTCTTCATGGCTCCATTAGTGCATTTAGACATCCATGTCTTTTACAAAAGTAAATAGGCTTTGCCTTCTCAGCTCAGGGCAGAATTCAGGTTGTTGTTGCTTTCCACACACAGATGAGCACAATTCTGTGCACTCTGCTCCCTGCAATTAGAATAAAACCTTTACTTGCCTGGCCAGTGGATTTTGGACTGTCAGCTCTTCTAAACATGAAACAGTGGCTCCTTTATGAAAAAGAAATCAGGATTGTCAGTGGAGGGGGTTAAATTCTCTCTTCTCTCTGCCCTGGTTTTAGTGCTGTTTCTCACCAGGTTTTTACTAAGCCCTTTCTGCCTTGTCCTGGGATCTTTCAGCTGTCACATACGAGGCCTTTGTGTGGTGGTTTCACTTAACTGTGATGTTCTCTTCAAATGGGGAGGACACTGATGAAAGATCAACTCAGTTTTGGCTTCATCTTGTCTTGTTTTAGCCTTGTTTGTTAATCTGCCAAAGCCACAGTTGTGATCTCGGGGCTCTGATTTAGGCTCTTCACCTGATCAGTGCTCAGAGAGACCAAAGAGTTCTTGAAGCTGAACCAGCTGAAAATACAAGAGGCTCATTCTTACTGGGCTGCTTGACTCTAAAGCAATGTACCCAGGTGAATTCTCCATTGCTCAGGGCATCTTTCCTTCAGCTGAAGGGTTTTCCAACAGAAAAGCTCCAGCTCAGTTGAAAGACCTGGCTTCATGCAGCAGTTGTTGGGTGGAAGTGTAAAGATCTGTGTCATGCACAGAGCAGTGACAGAACAGAATCCCCTCTTTTGCACACACACACACCAAAAAAGAAAAGAGAAACAGAGAAATCTTTGTGTCTGTGGCCTCAGGTTCTGGGGTTCAAATGTCACTCAGCCCAGGTGATGGCAGAGCAGCAGCCCTGGAGCTCTCAGGGGTGCACAGTCCCAAACTGCTGCAGTTCTTCTCCCCAGTCCTTTCCCTGCTCTGGCACACATGGGAGTGCCCTTCCCAAGCTCCTGGGCTGTGGGAATGATCCAAGGGCAGATCAGAGGAGGTTTGAGCTCTGAAGCCAGTGCTGTGTGTGCCCCAGGGGAGGGAAGGCCAGCAGGGGTTCTGGGAGGTCAGGAAGGAGGACAGGGCTCTGGCCCTTGGGGCAAGAAGAGGTGGGCACTGCCCAGCAAACTGATGGTGCAGTGGTGGTGTTAGGGAAAATGGGAATGTTCCTGGCTTCTGGAAACACCTACAGCTGAACCAGCTCAAGGAGGGCAGGGTGAACCCAGCACCTCTGAGCTGGGTCCAGGCAGGAATCTGATCCCAGGCACTGTTCCTGATTCCCGTGGGGATCAGAGTTCTCTAAAGGCAAAAACCACTGCAGGAGCCAGCTCTCTGCTCAGTGGGGCGGGGTGGGACTTACTTTTATCTCTGGGTTGCCAGTAGAAATGCTGAATCTCTCACTTTCCGTGATGTTTGACATGCCTGTGCTAATTTCTTGCCCATGCTTCACACCCCACCACCTCAACTCCAGGCGAGCCGAGCTCTCCGAAGCTCCAGCCTGGCCCTCAGGAGCGTGTGGGAGAGGCAGTAAAAATTGCCAGCCAGCCCCCAGAGCAGGGGCTGGGGCCTCAGCAGCCACCTCTGTCCCGTGAAACCAAGGCTCCAGCAGCAGCTCCCACCAGGATCGAGGTCACCATCCCAATCCCCCTGGAGATGTACCAAGGCTCCGGAGGCGGCAGGGAGCCATGGCACCAGGCGGGCAGAGGAGGCATCAGTGCAGAGCCAGAGCTGGGCCTGGCAGCAGCAGGAGGCACAGCTGACCACATAGATGGACCATCATCTCCTTTGTGTGCCAGAGCCACGAGCAAGGAAGGCTCTGGGGATGAGGGCCGGGATGTTGATAGAACTCCTGAGCAGGCCTTGCCTTCCCTCGTGGATCAGCGCGCTTCTGTGGGGCCTGAAAAGGGCTCGTGTCCAGCAGCTGCCCAGGAGACTCCTGAAGAATATGATGGAGAAAACAAGTCCAAAGGTGTTCTCAGAGACACCCCAGGAGAGGCACTTCTGGTGGAAGCTGAGTCACACAAAGCAGGAGAGGACCAAGAGGAGAAGCGAGAGCTGCCGGGGGGAGAAGGAGGCCCAGACACCACCCCGTCAGAGCCTTCTGCAAGTGTCCCCCAAAAAGAGGCTGAGCCTGGGCAGGGAGAAAATTCTGAGCCCGTGCAAGAAGCAGCCAGACTCCCTGCAGAGGCAGAAGATGGTGTAAAGGATGAAGATGCTGCTCTGGGAGAGGCTGTGCTGGCGGCAGGGGCCCGCCGGCCCAGGAGGAAGCCGGCTGGGCTGGCTGCAGACAAGGCCACTCGTGTCCCTCAGCTCAAAGGTGTGTGCTGCAGCTGCTGCCCTGACAAGGCTGCCTGATCCACGCTGCAGCTTGCTGCCACCTCGGCTCCTGCTGCTTGGAGATGGCCTGGACCGTGCTCTGACTGATCCAGGGCTCTGCTGCTCCCTCCCTGCCCTTCCCTCTTTTCTCAATCCTGGCCTGGATTGACACACCCTTGTGCTGCCGTCCTGCGTGCCTTGCATGGTGCTGGCGTGTCCCTAATCATGCTTTTTTTTCACCTTTTTGTTTTGATTTCCTTGGATCTGTTGGGTGAGTGCCTGAACTCCCATCTGGCACCTTCCCTGAGAAGATGAGGAGCTGGACGTGGCTCTGGCATGGTGGAGTGGGGCTCACCTGGCGTGTGCAGCTTGTTCCAGCAGGACACTGGAGCCACTGGTTTGCATGCCTGATTCAATAACTCTTGGAATTGGCTTTCCTAAAGAGGAGGGAGGAGGAAAAAGGCAAGGAGGGCAGGTCTAACCATGGAAAAGCCCCCACGCTGATCCTGTTTCTTGTACTTTCCCCTTAAATATCCACTACTGACTGCTGCTGGAGGCACAGCCTGCAGCCAGCAGGACCTTTCCCACTGCCAGGCATGTCCATTGCTCTTCCAAAGCATCCTGCTGCCATCCCAGCTCTGGATGGGGTGTCCCTGGGTGTGCCAGCCCAGTGCTGGCTCTGGGGGCTCAGCAGGAGCTGCCTGTGTGTCTGGAGGCATCTAAACAGTGTGTGGGGCTGGCAGGGCAGCTTTGAGTTCACCACTGAATGCTCCAGCACCCCTCAGACCTTTCCTTTGTGTTTTCCACCTCTCCTGGGTTCAGGAATGTCCTGAAAGTGGCTGAAGGCAGCTGTGCTGTGAGCTGTGCCAAGGAGCCAGGGCAGCAGGACACGTCTCACCGTGCTGTACCTCAGCCCTGGCTCTCCAGGGCAGGTCCTGGGGGAAGCTCTGCCTTTTCCCCCAGGGGAAGCTCTGCCTTTTCCCCCATCTCCACGCTCCAAGGGCTGCCTCGGATGCTCTTGTCAGCCTGGGAATGCTGCTGGGCTTGTGGCTCTGCTGCGGGGCTCACACAGAAATTGTTGATGGAGCTTTTCCCACTGGGGCCAAAGCTCATAACACATTTCTGGTTGTTCCCCGTGGGATCAGCAGTGGGAAGCTTCACTCGTGTGCTGCAGGGCACTGGCATGGCTTGCGCTGGAGCCTGGAACCACAGCAGGGTGGGGAGGCACTGCCCAGAGCCAGCCAGCTTCTGATTCAGTGGGAGAAGTTGAATTTTTTAATGGTCTTTCCCTTCAAAGTGGCTGCTTGGCTCCAGCCTTGCTCCAGTGTGCAGTTCAGCTGAATTTGGGAGGGGTCAGGGCTGGGTTAACAGCACTGTCCATGTCTCCAGGAAAGGGCTGATCCCCCAGGACAAGTTTCCCAGCACTGGGGGAATACCAGCAGCTTCTCCTCCCAATTAGTTGAAGATGGGGGGAAAAGGGCTTTGTTATGAGTGCCTTGGAGTGCAAACTTTATCTCCTCCCCATTTCTAATCTCCTAATTAGACTGACCCAGGTGGAAGGGGCACTGTGCTGGGAGGCAGAGAGCAGCTTGTCAGGAGAGAAGGGAATTAACAACAGCCAGGGATAAAAGTGCTCTGCAGCACCAGCTGAAGGAGCCCCTAAATGAGCTCACAGTGCTGCTGGACTGGGGCTTCCTTCAGTCTGGGTCTCTATTTATATCATTGTTTGAACAAGTGGGTGTTTCTGAGATCCTGTGTAGGGCTGAAGGGAACTTTCAGTGCTGAACTGGATGGATCCTGCAGGAGCTGGGTGGGAATCTCACAAACCCCCCTGGTGTGTCTGCTCCCAGGGCTGACTAACACAGGGTCGTCTGCTGGCACAGAAGGAATGTGTTTGTGGGGTGGTGGAAGGATTTCTGCAAGAAGTGGTGACTTTGTCACATTTCTGAGAATGGTGTTGAGTTGAAGGGAGAGCAGGGACAGGGAACACCCCCAGCAGTGTGCTGTCATCTCTGGGGTTTATGACCAGGCCCAAGAGGTGTAACTGTGTGTTTCCATCTGTCAGGTCGTGTTGACAAGGAAGGGACTGAAGCTGATGAAAAGAAACCCAAGGTAAGCTAAAAACCAAAACCAGGGGTGACACCTGTCCGTGTTCCTGGCTCCTCTCCTGCCCTGCTGAAACCTTCCCATTATGTTCCATTTTCCCATTTGTTTTCAAGAGTGTTTTTATTTTTTTTTCCCTCCTCTGGGTTTGGATGGTGCAATCCATGGGTTCTTTGAGGGTGAGGAAATGGTCCAAATCTAAATCAAGCACGTGGCTCATGGGGTTGGGTGGGAGGCTGGAGAAAGCATTTTATCAGCCCAGGACTGAAAAGCAGCAGCTGACCTTGGGGCAGACTCAAAACTGCACTGGGGACAAGTGCAAAGAGCAAAACATGTGATTAAAACATTAAATTAAATAATCTAGGCCTTGCAGATCATAGAATATCCTGAGTTGGAAGGGATCCACAAGAATCATCAAATCCAGCTCCTGGCTTGCACAGGACACCCCCCAAAAAAGATGCTGGGTCGTGTTCTGGGTGAGGAACAGAGTTTAATAGTGGGTAAATCCCAGGAGCTAAACAATATCTGTTACACTGGCAGTTTGGAGGAGGTTTAGCTCAGCTGGCCATTTTCCTGGTTAGTGCCTGAGTGGGATAATGGACAAGCTGAGGGGAAATGCAGTGGGTGAAGAGCTAAAAGTGAGGAATAGAATTATTTTCTAACACTGAAATTGGTTATTTCTCTACGTACAGCCCTGGCAGTCCCTACCTCACACCCTGCATTGCACCTTCTAATCCTATTTACTGTCTCTGATCCCATTTTATTTCCCTCCCATGCTGATTTCCTTTTGTTTTTGTTCCCACCTTATTTCATTTCCACGCCCAAGAAATCCTCACCTTGCCCTGCCAAACCCCCTGGCTCCGTGCCCCCCCCGGGGCACGCAGCCCCCTGCAGCCCTGCCAGTGCCTCCAAACGAGCCTGTCCTGCCACCCCCCGGCCTGCCAGCTCAGGAGTGCAGGAAACAGCAGCCAAGGTAAGGGACTGGGCTGGGAGAGAGGCCAGGGCAGCACCTGGAGGCGTTCCTGGTGTTCCTGGCTGCTGCAGGTCCTGCCCTGTCCCTGGAGAGAGGGATGTGCTCCCTGCCCTGGTGATGCCAGGCTTGGTTCTGGGGGGCACCCAGCACAAAGGGCTCCTTGCTGCAGCTGTGACCCCCTCGTGCCCTTTCCTTGTTTGGCAGCTCAGTGTGTGTCTCACGGGGCAGTTTGAGCCGTGCCAGGGCTGCAGCCGTGGCAGCACAGCCGTGGCTGAGCCTGCAGGGGGAACAGAACCTCGGAGCTTTTTCCCTTGGTGGCATTCAGGCCCACGGTGAGGGAGAGCACAGGGAGCGCAGGTCACACGGAACCACAAAATCCTGGCATGGTTTGGGTCAGAAACGAGCTTAAAGTGCCACCCCTGCCATGGCAAGGTCACCTCCCAGTGTCCCAGGCTGCTCCAAGCCCTGCCCAGCCTGGCCTTGGGCACTGCCAGGGATCCTTCTCTGTGCCAGTCACAGGTGTTGTATTTTTACATACATACATTACATTACATGCATGACATACATGAATACAGAATTTATCTCCTGTACAAAATTTTGGCAGAGCAGGGGAAGCCCAAGGATGAAATGCAGAGAGCTGAGGTGTGGCTGAGCCAGGCATGAGGGTGCGGGGCATGGCGTGGCTGAAGCCAAGGGCTCTCCTGGGACAGGTCACAGCCTTTCCTGTGCCCTGCCTGTGGAGGTGGGACACGGGGTGTGAACAGGCACATTCCAGGTGGGGGGAATCCCAGGGAAAAGTGGGAGGGTCTTACTGCTCTGAGTGAGGGGTGGCAGCCTGTCCCTAACTCTGAGGGGGGGCAGGCTGTCCCTGACTCTGAGTGAGGGGGGGCAGCCTGTCCCTGACTCTGAGGGAGGGGTGGCAGCCTGTCCCTGACTCTGAGGGAGGGGTGGCAGCCTGTCCCTGACTCTGAGGGAGGGGTGGCAGCCTGTCCCTGACTCTGAGGGAGGGGTGGCAGCCTGTCCCTGACTCTGAGGGAGGGGTGGCAGCCTGTCCCTGACTCTGAGGGAGGGGTGGCAGCCTGTCCCTGACTCTGAGGGAGGGGTGGCAGCCTGTCCCTGACTCTGAGGGAGGGGTGGCAGCCTGTCCCTGACTGAGGGATGGGTGACAGCCTGTCCCTAAGTCTGAGGGGTGACAGGCTGTCCCTGACTCTGAGGGGTGTCAGCCTGTCCCTGGCTCTGAGTGAGGGGTGGCAGCCTGTCCCTGACTGAGGAAGGGGTGACAGCCTGTCCCTAACTCTGAGGGGTGACAGGCTGTCCCTGACGTGCTCTGAGGGGTGGCAGCCTGTCCCTGACTCTGAGGGGTGGCAGCCCGTCCCTGACTGAGGGAGGGGTGGCAGCCTGTCCCTGGCTCTGAGGGAAGGGTGGCAGCCTGTCCCTGGCTCTGAGGGAAGGGTGGCAGCCTGTCCCTAAGTCTAAGGGAGGGGTGGCAGCCTGTCCCTGACATCCCTGTGTGTCCCCAGGGCCCCGAGGCGAGGGGTGGCTCCAAGACGGGCGCGGCGCGCGCGGGGCAGGCGCAGAGGAACTCCACCAACGCCACCCGCATCCCTGCCAAGACCCCCACGACCCCCAAGACCCCTCCCAGCTCCGGTAGGTGACGGTGGCAGCGTGTGCTGGTGGCTGGGTGGTGCTGCTGGGGATAGTGACCAAGCCCAGCCCTGTCCTGGCACCCGTTCCCCCTGAGCCCAGCCCTTCCAGGTGCTGCTCGTGCAGTCTCCAGTGTGTAGCAGAGGCCAGTTCCTTTATCCTGTGGGATTTCCTCAAATTTGGAAGATTTAGGCAGCTCCATTTTTTTTTAATCCATCTGCTCGTTTTCTCTCTGGTGATATTCACAAAGAGCAGGGGCAAGAGGATCAATTCTTCGATTGCAGGAATGGAGATTAGCCCATTATGCTCAGAGAAGAAAACCCCAGAAAGCATCAGGCATTGTGAATTTCCATTAAAATGGTGCATTTCACTGGATGTATACATATATTTCATACTTAACCAGAGCTGCATAAAACCTTAAATCAATTAATTTTCCAGCTTTATTATGTTTAAGCATCTTTCTCATTCACTAAACAGGCAGAAAGGAGCAGAAAAAGCCACCTCCTGCAGCAGCAAAGACTGAGAAAGGTGATGTTTAAGGGTCTTCTTTTCTTCTTTCATTTCCTTTTCAAAGTGGGGACAGTGCTAAGCTGCTCAGCGATCAGCCTTAGTTAATTACAGGAAATAATTTTATGAAAGTGCTTCCAAATTCCAAATAGAAAAGTGGTTCTGAGTGTCTTTTGTCCGTAATTCATCACGCCACGCTCGGGTGGGGAGTCTTACTGACCATCCAGCCAGTGGAGACCATCTTCCTTCTGGGATATTAGGAAACCGCCTTTAAATCACAAGTTTTTCCTTCAAAATGGAGTAGAAGAAAGCGCGGCCACCGCCCTTCCCCCTGCACTGGGCTGTCGGGTGGGCTCTGGGACGAGGCAGAGCAGCCCCCACGGGCAGCGGGGGGGTGCTGCTGACCCGGGGCTGTCCTGTGTGCAAACTGCAGGTGAGCAGCCCAAGTCCGGAGACAGAAGCGGTTACAGCAGCCCCGGCTCCCCCGGGACTCCGGGCAGCCGTTCCCGCACCCCCTCTCTGCCCACCCCACCAGCCAGGGAGCCCAAGAAGGTGGCAGTGGTTCGCACCCCCCCGAAATCTCCCGCCTCCGCCAAGACCCGCGTGCAGCCGGCGGCCGCGCCCATGCCCGACCTGAAGAACGTCAAATCCAAAATCGGCTCCACCGACAACCTGAAGCACCAGCCCGGAGGTGGCAAGGTAAACGCGGGCTCTGCGTCCCCTCCAGCGGGCTGCCAGGGGCTCCCTGCGGCGGGGCAGCGCTCCAGCCTGGCTCCGCGAGGTTCTGGCTCGGATGCTTGGCCTGGAATTCCCAGCCTGGCTTAGTGCAGCTCAGCTGTCTCGTGGAGAGCTCCTGGCCAGGGTCTCATGTGGGATTGACACTCCCTGGTGGTGCCCAGGTTGTGAGCTGCAGTCCTGAGGGGTGGCAGGGGCAGGGCTGTGTTTCTGAATCCCACCCTGTGCCCTGTGCAGTCCTTCCAGTCCTCTCTCCTCCTTCTGAGGGTCTCAGGCTCGGACCCCACATCTTCCAGACACTGGGATTTTGGATCCAGCTCTGTTGGCGAGGTTTTGGGTTGTGTTGTGCCACCAGGTGCTGTCTGGCTACACAGTGCAGGGTGGCACGGCCAGAACTGGTGGCACTTCTATCCCTTCAAACACTTTGCACTCCCAGAAAAGTTCTTTCACCAGCAGAGTGACCTCTGGGCTCCAGGTGCTTGGGAATGAGAGTCTTGGGTTAAATTTTGCAAGCCTGGCAGGGGACACTGCCTGTCCTGGGGATGGCACTGCCTGTCCTGGGGGTGACTCTGCCTGTCCTGGGGGTGGCACTGCCTGTCTTGGGGGTTGGCACTGCCTGTCTTGGGGGTGGCACTGCCTGTCCTGGGGGTGGCACTGCCTGTCCTGGGGGTGGCACTGCCTGGCTGCAGACCTTGCAGAGCAATAACAAACGTTCCCTGAGTGCTGTGCATGACATTTTGTGTGAGCAGGTGCCTCGGTGGCTCTGAATGTTCCCCTTTGGCGTGGGGGGAGGCTTTGAGCTGGCTCCTCTGCATCCTGTGAAACGGCAGCCTGCCTCTCCGTGGCCTTTCCAGGCATTTTCCACCGTGGCTGGCGATTCACTGGCTTTGTGCCACCATCCAGGGGGGCTCTGGAGCCTGGGCAGGGCTCTTGGTCATGAGACAGCAGCACATGAGCACAGTGTCCTTTTTAGGGGGGCTCAGCCCTCCTGCCCACTTAGCACAAGACATGGGTTTTTCTTCCCACCCCCACAAACCCTGTTCTACAGGGATTTTAGAAGGAACCCTTGTTTACTGGAAAATAGTTAAATTATTTGCTTTTTTTTTTTTTTTTTTTTTTTTTTAAATCCAGCTTTTACAAGTTGTTTTTTCCCCTCTCTGCTTCTCTGTTTGTTGTTGTTGCTGAAAAAGTAAGAACAGCTGAATTTGGGACAGTTCCTTGCTCTTTGCAGGGGAGAATGGCTGGATGCTCTGCTGGGGATTCTGCTCCCAGCAGAATGGTTGCAGCTGGAGCAGAAGGGGCTGATCCCAGACATTTGATTTTAGGCTGCTCAGAAATGGGTTTGGAGCCTGCTCTCAGTGCAGATTGCAGACCCCCAGCCTGGGCAAGCCAGGGAGCAGGGGGCACACGCCAGGAGCAGCCAGGCCACGGCTCTGCCTGTGCTCCTGCATGGTCTGAGCACCTCTGCTGTGGCTGCATCACCCAGGGTTGCTCTGGCACAGCCTGGAATGGCACAGCTGGGTCCTGATCTGTGGCATGGCTTGATGTCAGCTCCGAAAATCCTGCTGGAGGCACAGGCCAGCCTTGGTGCTTCTGGTGCTGCAGAGCCAGGGCACTGCAGGGAGCTCTCCTGGCAGAGCTGGAGTGCTGGCACGGAGCACTCAGCTCTGGGGATGGTGCCACCAGGAGTGTCTGTGCCCGGGGAGGTGACACTCCTGGGGGCTCTCGTGGTCCCTGTCACAGGCTCAGACCTGTGGGCTCTCACCTGTGTTGGCACTGTGGGGGTTGTAAAGGCACTCCAGGGTGTGTGGGGAAGGAGCAGGGATTGTCTTCACCCTGGGGTTTTCTGGGAGAGCTGCTCGGGTGCCTGAGGTGGCTCCAGGGCAGCTCCCTCCACAGCCAGGGGGGAAACAGCCCTGAGTGGAAGCAGCTTTATGAGCAGAGGTCAGCGTGCAGGGAGGGCTTTGGGGCTGCAGGCTGTGGCTGGCAGTGGCTCCCATGTGGCCCCAGCCCTTCCCAGCCCCACTCCCAACCAACAGGGGCTCCTTAGGAATGTGCCACAGCACTGGGATGGGGCTGCATCCCTGGGATTGGGCTGCATCCCTGGGACTGGGGCTGCATCCCTGGGATTGGGCTGCATCCCTGGGATTAGGCTGCATCCCTGGCCTGGAGCTGCATCCCTGGGGTGATGCTGCATCCCTGGGGTGGTGCTGCATCCCTGGGATGGGGCTGCATCCCTGGGATTTGGCTGCATCCTTGGGATTGGGCTGCATCCCTGGGGTGGTGCTGCATCCCTGGCCTGGAGCTGCATCTCTGTCCTGGGGCTGCATCCCTGGGATGGGGCTGCATCCCTGGCAGTGTTTTCTTTCTCTTGGCAGCTGTGGAGGGAGCGTGGGCCCTGTGCAGAGCAGAGCTGGGTGTCCTCTCCCAGTGCTGGACACACAGCTCCTGCTGCCCAGCCTGGCCAGTGGCACTGTTTGCCCAAGGTGTGCCTGGCCCAGAAGGGGACTGCCAGGGAGCTGGAGCTGGGCAGGCATTTTTCTCTCAGCTCCATCCCTCCTCATTCCACTGGCTCTGCAGGAGCTGAGTCTCCGAGCCCTGGTGGGGGTCTCTGAGCCCTGGTGGGGTCTCTGAGCCCTGGTGGGGGTCTCTGAGCCCTGGTGGGGTCTCTGAGCCCTGGTGGGGGTCTCTGAGCCCTGGTGGGGGTCTCTGAGCCCTGGTGGAGCCTCAGCCCTGCCTCCCAGTGGGTTTGCTGTGCTGCCCAGTGAGTTCCCTGTTCTGTTCCGTGGAAGGATCCAGGCTGAGCTGGCTTTTTGGCTGGTGTTTGTGGCCTGGGACCCAGGGCTGCAGCACTCCCCAGGCCTCTCCAGTCTCGAGCTAGAACCTGCCCACCTCCACCTTCCCTTTCCTGCCCAGGAACAGACAAATCTGTGCAGCAAGCCAGAGATTTTCCTTTTTGCTGCTAGCACTGGAAGGCAGGTTCCTGGTTTTAGGGCTGTAACACATGGTCAAGCTGCAGATGGTCATGTTGTTTCTCACGCTCTTTTCTGGCTACCAAAGGTGCAGATAATTAATAAGAAGCTGGACTTTAGCAGCGTTCAATCCAAGTGTGGCTCAAAGGATAATATCAAACACATCCCGGGCGGAGGCAGTGTGAGTACCTTCACACTTTCAATGCTCTATCTTAGTTCTGATAATAAGTGGCATGTTGTGTACACTGACTGCCAATGCTATCTGCAGCGACCCTGCCATCAGATAGCTATTGGTGACGTGCAATGACTCTTTTCTGGCTACCAAAGGTGCAGATAATTAATAAGAAGCTGGACTTTAGCAGCGTTCAATCCAAGTGTGGCTCAAAGGATAATATCAAACACATCCCGGGCGGAGGCAGTGTGAGTACCTTCACACTTTGAATGCACTGTAATAATCCTGATTTTAGTGGCATGTTGTTACACTAATCACCAATGCTATCTGCAGCCACGCTGCTGTCACATAGCCATTGGGGACGTGCTGTCATTTAACCCCCTTAACCCAAAAATGATCCCTTAACGAGTCCTGGACATGCCAGCCATGGACAGAACTAACTGCCCCGTGTCCAAACCACATCTGTAACCAAACCTCCCAGTAACTCCAGGGCTCTGCACTGCCTGGAAGGCTGAAAGCCTCCTGGGCTGTGGGATGGGGCCCCTGGCACAGGGTGATGCAGGAGATGGGTAGGTTTATGAGCAGACCCAGTCCTCATTGCTCAATGTGCTGCTAAATTGGACATCATCCTGCCCAACATGTGAACGTGCCCGTTCCCATCAGGCAAGTATGATCCATGCAAATATTAAGTTTCTCCTTGCTAATGAATGTGTCCAGCAGCGCCCACGGGGGCTGAGCCTGAAGTATTGTTGAGCTAATTGATTTGAACACTGGCATTTCCAGCTGTTCCCACATAAATACCAGACTCAGCTTTCAGTTACCGTGCCAGAAACCTGGAGAAACTCCACAGAGGTTGGTGGATTTACAGCTGGAGGCAGTTTGGGTCCAGGAAAGATGCTGGGCCGAGGAAGGCACATCCCTGGGACCCCAGACAGTGTCACTGGGGCTTGTGGGGTGCTCTGAGATGTTCCCCATGGATTTTCCTTGATCTCTGTGGACGCCCTCCCTGAGAAGCTGAGCCTTGCACAAGGCTTGGTGGGTGAACACGGGGACACAGCTGGCTCTGCAGCCTCTGGCTTCAGTTTGGTGTCAGCCTGCAGTCACTCACAGGCCAGAGGAGCTGCTCTGCAGAGCTCAGACCCTGTGAAGCAGTTCCATGGCTGCTCCTGTTCCTCACTCCAGGGTCCTGCTCTGCCTGGGCTGCCCAGGAGCTGGTGCTGGCCACAAATCCCCTGTGCTGTGGCTGGTGATGAGCTGGTCCCTTCCTCCACAGAGCTCACCCCGTGGGCTTTGCAGATGCACTGGCTTAAGAATTACCTGAATTTTCACCTGGGGGTTGTGATCCCTCCCCAGGCCCTGCCAGCACTGGAAACCCCATGGGCTCTGCCTGGCTGCAGCAGCTCTGGGGCTGGGCTGGGCCTGGGGCTCCCTTGGGAGGGGGCAACAAGAGATCCCAGGGCTCCAGTGGCCTTTGGGACCCAAGCCCCATGGCAGCAGCACCCCCTGCCCACCATCCCTGCTTGCAGAGGGGTTGGTGCCTGGATTTTGGAGCCTGTGGATGCTCTGAGCAGGGGTGCCTTAGGCAGGAGTTGGCCTTGGCACTGCTGATGCTGAGGGGTGGGATCCCCAGGTCTCTGGCACTGCTTCCCTAGGCAAACAACTCTGTTCCCCTTCTCCTTTCTTGCTGAAATGGGGAGGATCCTCCTCTGCTCCCCAGCAGGATGGGAAGGGATGACAGAGTCACAAAAGGGACTGGGAATGAGAGCAGAAAGTTCCAATTGCTGTCTGCTTGTTGTGGAAACGAGAGGACTCAGGTCTCAGTGGTGCCTGAATTGCTGGGAGACCCTTTGGGGTCACAGCTGGGATTAGAAAGGCACCAGCTGCCCTTTTTGGGTCTGTTTCCTGCTTTCCAACCAAATCCAGCTCCTCTCCTGCCCAGGTGCATTAAAGATGTGACTTTTCCCTACGCTGTCTCCACGTCTGTGTCCACGGTGTGCCCCCAGACCCTGAGGGGTTGCTTTTCTCCTTTTCTCCCTCTCTGTCTCCTGTCAAACGTGCCTCTTGGTCTGTGTGAGCAGCAGAGACAAGGCAGGTCAGCAGGGCTCTGTGCCTGGGGCTGTTCCTCCTTTTCCTGGCTCCGGGGTGGGGTGAGGGTTTGTCTCTCAGGGCTGTGACAATCTCTGAGCACGTTGGGGCCAAGCTGAGGACTGAAGGATGCACTGGGGCTTTTGGGTGAGCCCCGGGTGCTGAGGTGGGGAGCAGAGGCTGCAGTGGATCCTTGGTGCTGCTCTGGGGCTGCTGGGAGGAGTCAGCTCCTCTGCACAGCTCCCTTGCTGCTGCCACATCCTTCTGGGGCTGCTGAGAGCATCACACCTGCAGCGGTGCCTGGGGAGACACGGAGAGCAGCAGATGCTCCCCAGGAAAAGTCCAGGCTGTCCCAGAGCCAGCCTGGAGGTCTGGATGATGCCATTTGTCCTGCACAGCCCCCCTAACCCAGCCCAGCTGAGCCCCTGTGGTCGCTGGGATCCCAGAGCAGGCTCCAGGGTATCCCGTGGGGTTCTGGGGATGTTTTGTGCCCCTTGTCTCCTGCTCCTGCCGTGGCTGCCGTGTGTGTGCCTGCTGCCAGGCTCCTCCCTGCTGTGTGCTGCTGCCCAGCCCTGCTGTCCCTGTGTGTCCTGTGTCCCCGGTGTCCGTGCCACGAGGCCACCGGCCCCACGGGGACAGGGGGGGATCCCTGGGATTGCTGGAGCCCACCTTCAGAGACATCGTGGGCAAAGCACATCAAAACAGGGCTTAAATGTCACAAAATGCTGTTGTGGTTCAGTACTTTATAATTGCCATTTTAATTTCTATGATGTGAACGCCAGATATTTAGATTTTGCTTTGCTTTTTTATTTATTTATTTATTTTTTATTTTTAACCCTTATTTCCGTTACAGCATTTTTCAGAAATGCATATTTTGGTCACTCTTTTGAAAGTTCTGTGCACATTGATCATTTCTGTTCTTTCAGTTTTTGTGGACATAAGCTTTATGTTTTACACCAGAAAAGGTATTTATTTTTTACGTTTTCTCTCTGGTATATCTCCTCCTTTTGGATGATGTGTATGCAAATCTTAAATTAATTACCACTCCACTTTCTCTCTCACTCGAGCACTTTAAAATTGCCTCTACTCCCCGCTCTGTGGAGAGGTGATCTCGTGCATGCTGACATGTTAAGAGGCTCCTGCACACGGGCATTAATGATCTCCCATTTCTGATGGCAGTTTCTTTGGTGTCATTAATCCTCCTGGGCTCGGAGCTGTCCTTTCCCTCCAGCCCAGCCCAGGTGCTGCTGTGTGTTGTGCTCCCCCTCCCCAGCTGCCCCTGCTGGCCTCCAGCTCATCCCCCTCTCCTCTCTCCTACGGGCAGGTGCAAATCGTTTACAAGCCAGTCGACCTGAGCCATGTGACATCCAAATGTGGTTCCCTGGGCAACATCCATCACAAACCAGGTACCCCCCAGGCCCAGGGGGTGTGGAGGGGGGCAGGGGGTGAGGGGAGGCAGTGGCTGGAGCAGCCCAGGGAGCCCTGCAGCGCTGGCTGCTGTTCCCAGCTCCTGAGCCTCCTCTCGCTCTTCTCCCGCAGGTGGTGGCCAGGTGGAGGTGAAATCTGAGAAACTGGACTTCAAAGATAAGGTGCAGTCGAAAATCGGGTCCCTAGATAACATCAGCCACGTCCCTGGAGGAGGCAATAAAAAGGTAAAGGGGCCTGGGGACGGGCGGGTGCTGCTGTGGGGACAGGGGACAGAGAGGTGGCACCGCTGCCAGGATGTCTCTGTCCCTCCTGGCCTGTGGCCCTCTGAGTGAGCACGAGCCATGACAGCCTCTGCTGTGGTTTCCTGCTCTTCCTGCTGCCTCTGCTGAAGTTTTTCGTGTCTCAAGCTCTTCCCACAAAGTGTCACCATCAGCAGGTGCCAGGCTGTGACACCGAGCTGGCAGCTGGGGAATGCAGAGGTGTTGGATCCCCAGTGAAAGTGGAGCATTAAAGGCTCAGCTTTATTTAGAGCAGGTGACTTTGCAGCAAAGTGGCCCTTCAGAAGGTGATTTCTCCTTCCTGACCGAGGGCTCTGTGAAGGGAGGGGAGTGTGTGAGGGATTTAAATTAAAAGACAAAAGGCACTCGGGTCAGGGAAGTGAGCTGGGGCTGAGCTGTCCCCACCAAGGCTTTGATGGTGACTTCAGTGAGGCTTGTCCAGATAAAACAGCCCCACAGCTGGGCTGCAAGGCCACCAAGTCCCCAGCAGCCAGGGGGGTGAGGACATCAGCTAAGCACAGAGCTGAGGCTCCAGCCTGGCGACACGCAGGGCTCAGCTTCCCCAGGGAAGAGCAGGTTTTATCTTGCTTGCTTTTGCAGCACTTTCGTCTCAGTGGGAGGGGAAGGTTCTGTTTCAGCTCCTGTATTTTGGCACTTTGTTCTTGGCCACGTGTTCTCTGTGCAGCTCCAGCTCTCACCTCCAGCTGGCCTCTGACTGCGGGACCGCTTGACTTCCTTACCCTTCTCTCTGCCGTGCATCAGCCTCCCCTGTGCTTCACTGAGCCTTTTGCCACCGGTTTTGTGATTCCAGTGATGGCTCTCTCACATCCTGGCACGTTCACTGGGCCATAGTTTGAAGACCTTGCCCTTTGCAGGGGAGTTTCTCTGCAAGGCTTTGACTCAGCAGTGGCATCACCATCTCAGCCTTCCAGCCTGGTGGCTGCCCCTCTCAGCCTGGAGGAGGTTCTGGGTGTATCTGAGTCCAGCTGCAGCTCTGCTGCCCCTCTCCCTTGTCCCCAAGCCCCCTCTTTGCTCTGTGACAGACAGATCCACATTGGCACTCACAGCCTACAGCCCTTTAAGCTGAGCTCTGGTTCCTGTGCCGGGTCTGCCTGGGTGCTCCGTGCTCTGCCCAAGTCCCTGTGCTCTCCCGTGCTCTTCCTGGAGAGTTTTCCTCCCTGGCTCCAAAGGCAACCACTCTTCTTTCTATGAGTCAGTGAATGGCCCTGTTTTTCAGATCTTTTTCTCCCCAGTTTTCCATTCCTTTTCTATATTTTTTGTCTTTTTCCTTCTGGCTGACATTTCTTGGATCATGGTTTTTGTCGCTGATGCATTTTTTGCCCCCCACTGCCCTGGGTGGGTTTCTTCACCTGTAGAGAGAGAAAGGCAAGGAAGACAAGACCTGGACCCCGAGCCCAGACCCCGCTGGGCTCCAGGCCCTGGTGCTGGAGCCACTCACCCCCACGGAGAGCCAGCCCCCAGCCTTGCACTCGGCTGGGGAGGGCACCTGTAAGTAGCAAAGCAGATCCAGTTCACCGGGAGAGGGGTCTGGCTCCTGGGAGCAGCTCCGTGGGCTAAGGGGAAGCTTCACGTGCCGTGTGCCCCCATAATCTCTGCCAGGGAAGTGGGAGCAGCCCAGGTTGTGCCCTCTGCCTTCTGGGACCCAGGACCCCTCGCCTGGAGAGGATTTGGCAGCACCCAGATGCTCAGGTCCTGCTGTCCCCTCTGGTGCCTGGGGCGTGCCCAGGCCAGGGGCACTGGGGACACCGGGTCACTGCTCTGAGCTCCGCTCCCCCCTCTCAGCAGACACCTGGCAGGTCCCTCTGTCCCCTGGCCATGCCCCTGACCTCCATCCTCTCCCTCACAGATTGAGACTCACAAGCTGACCTTCCGCGAGAACGCCAAAGCCAAGACCGACCACGGCGCCGAAATCGTCTACAAGTCCCCCACCATCTCCGGAGATGCCTCCCCGCGCCGCCTTAGCAACGTCTCCTCCACCGGCAGCATCAACCTGGTGGACTCCCCCCAGCTGGCCACGCTAGCCGACGAGGTGTCCGCCTCGCTGGCCAAGCAGGGCTTGTGATCGCGGCGCGGCGGCCACCAGGAGAGAAGACAAGGAAAGGAAACGACAAAGAAAAGAAAGAAAAATAATAATCTGGCCTTCTTCCTCTGTTCCTTTTACAGCTGCTTCCCCGTCCCTAACTGGTTAATGATTTAACCTGCTTTTACTGTTCATTCAGCTCTAGCTCCAGGACTTCAAAATCAGTGACACTATGAGGTACAAAACCTCCTCTCCCCCTGCTCCTCGGAGCGCACAGCCTGTCCCGTCCCCGCGCTCCCCCTCGCTGTCCCAGCCCTGCCCGGGGCGAGGCGGGGAGGGGGCCCGAGGGGCGGCCACAGCACGACGCTGACCCGTGCACCCCGCACCAGCACAGGGCAGCGGGTGGCCCTCCCGGGAAGGGGCTGTGACCTCGCCCAGCTCGTGTCCTGCCGCTGGCCGGGCTGGGTGCGCAGCCAGGGCTGCGGGGAGGTGCCCTCCCCTCCATCCCTCCCTCCCTCCTTCCCCGCGTTAAATTTGCCTGCTGATTTGGAAGAAACTTTTTTTTTTGTTTTTATTTCCGAAAGCCGAGATGTGTATGAAGATAACGGCCAGGTACCCCCTAACCCGCTCTCAGCTCCGGCAGCTGGAGTTCTGGCGACGCCGGGTGCCCGCTCCGAGGGGCCCCGGACGGGCCGTTCCCCTCTCCGTGGCTGTGCTGGAACCGCTGAGTGGATGAGTAGAGGCTTTTCCCCATTCCTTTGGCAGCCCCTCGTGTCGTAGAGTAGATTTGTCTGTATATGCTTGGACCGTGCCAGGGTGATTGTTTTCATAAACGAGCATGTGTTTAAAAAAAAAAATAAATAAATGCTGTAAGTAGTTTTGAGCTGCCCCGCGCCGGCTCCGCCGCAGCCCAGCCGGGGGCCCGGGGAGCTCGGCCGGCCCCGGGGCCGCAGGAGGAGCCCGGCACCGCATGTCTGCCGGGGGGAGCTCGGAGGAGGGGCACTCACAGCTCCAGGGCTGGGATGGCTCCTGGCTTTGGGTGCAGCTTGTGACATTTTTGGGTTGTTCTTTTTCTTTCCCTGCAAGGTCAGCTCAGCGATGGCGGAGGTGGCAGCTCCATGGCTCTGCTGTGCCGGTGGCAGCGGTGAGACCCCGGCGGGACGCGGGGGAGGCGGCAGCAGCTCCCCCAGCCCGGGGCCCGCGGCTGCTCCCCGGCACTGAACCCCCTTTCCGGGCGCTCCCCGGTGTGAGTTGGCAGCATCTCACCCCTCCCACAGCACTGACCGCCCCAGCACCGCTCGGGGACAGGAGCCAGTCCAGTTATTGCTTTGGCTGTTTTTGTTCCTGTGGCTCCCTGGGGAGCACGAGGGGGTCCCGTGGCTGTCCCTGCCTGCCCCTTCCCTCTACAACCAAAGAGGCCGAGATGCCACCAGTGCAGCTGTGTGTGTCCTCCTGCCCTGTCTCCCCCAGGGGCCCCAGCCGAGCTCTGGGGGTTCAGCTGGAGGTGGGAGGGCAGAGGGGTCCCGGCGGGGCCGCAGCCCCTGCACCCCGGGCTGTGCTGCAGGGAAAGCCGTGCTTTCCCAGCCAGGGTTGCAGTCCTGGTCCGACAGGGCTGGCGGGGGGTCAGGGCCCCCTGGTTGTCCTTGGGGTGGTGGCTGGGTGCCACCGAGGCTGCCAGAGCAGCTGTTCCTGGGCAGAGCAGCAATTCCTCCCCGGACAGGACCTGTGGGAGCTGTGAACCCGCTGTCACCCCTGTCCCTCTGCGGGGCTGGGCTGCGCAGGCCTGGCTGTGGATGGAGATGGTCTGGGAGGGTCCAACCCTTCTCTGTGCAGCCCCAGGAGCTGCTTTATTGCTGGGGAGAGGCTGGTCCAGCAGCACCATCATGTCCAGCTTGTCACTCGCTCCGTTCACTTGACTCCATGATTGTAAGACTCTGTGCTCCGTCCCTGACTCCGTAGCGCTGTAGGAGCCGCCTGCTTTTTGTCCTTTGTAGAACGAGCAAGTTGGGAGAACCCTCAAAGCATCACCTCCTTACCCCTTCTGGGCTGCAGGACGGGGTAGCTGAGCTGGCCCGTCCTGTGCCACCCCTGTCCCCTCCGTGCAGCCCCTGAGGGACACCAGCACCCAGGGCTGGGATGGCCTTGGTGTGCACCGAGCTCCAGTGAGCAGCCCCTTCCTACTCTGAGTGTCCTCAGCCCCGGCTGTGGTCCCCCCCCCGGGGGCTGTGGGGTGCCAGGACAGCCCTTTACATCCACCACGTCACCCGCTGTCCCCTCCAGCAGCCCGAGCCACGTCCCCTGCCCCAACCCCGCGGTCAGACCCACGCCCGAGGGTCCGGCGAGCAGCCGGACAGCCTGACCCCCGGCTTTTCCTTTACTCCACACACATCTTGGGTCTGAAAAGGGTTAAAACCGGCACTGATTTAAAAAGAAAAAAAAAAAAATCGTATTTCTGCACTCCAAAAGATTCTGCGTGTTAGCCAAGGTCGGTGCCAGCCTGTGTGGTGTTGGCAGCCCCGTGCCCCCCGCGCTGCGCCGGGGAGGGGAGGGAAGGTTTGATCTCAGTGTATCATTCTAGCTTAGCTTCTGTCTGTGGGTGTCCATAGTGTATCGTGTGTTTAACAACTGGTTTACACTGTTGCCGTAAAAGTGAATTTGGAAATAAAGTCATTACTACGATAATGGTCATTGGCACCTCTTTTGCATGGGGGGATGTGGGGTGGGGGATGCATCCACAGAATCAGGGACTGGTTTGCAGTTTTTTTTTACTTTTTAAACTCCCACACTTCTTCCTGGGGCACAGAGGGGTGATCCTGCCTGCTGGAGCCAGGAAGCACACAACAGTCCCTGGATGAAACCAGCAGCACCCAGCTAACCCCAGAAATGTAAAATAACCCCCAGCCCAGGGGTTCCTCCTCTTGCTGACAGTAACTGCTGGAAAATAACATCACACAGGAAAAAAAGAGGCCACTGAAACACAGGAGGGAAGCAGCTGATCTGAGTGCACTGAGGGTCCCTTCCCTGTCCCAGCCCAGCGTTTCACACTCATCAAATGGAATATTACATTTTAATTTTTTTTTTAATCTTTTCTTCTTTTTTTTTTTTTTATAAGCACATTTGTGCTTTGCCAACAGAATCAAGACATTAACAAAGATCAGCTTCTCGGAAGAAAAGCATTTCTATATAACAAGGACATTACACAGCTCAAAGCAGGAAAAGAAAATATTTACAAAATACAAGGTGGGTTTTTTTTTTTGTGTGGTTTTTATAATGCTAAAAGGGTTATTCAGAATTTTCAACCTTATAAATAGAAAAGCACTTCTGCAGAGGGATATGGTAGCGCCGTTGTTTGTTGGGTTTTTGTTTTAAAGAAACGATGACGGATCCTTTAAACTAGAACAGAACCAAAACCACGAGATCATGTTGAAAATTGTGAAAACCCCGACCATGAAGCAGTTCAGCGACTATTTCTTTACGATTACAAAATGGAAAAAAAAAAAAAAAAAAAAAAAAAAAAAAAAAAAAAAAAAGCCTTGGGTTTTTTTTTTCCCTTTTTTTTTTTTTTTTTTTGGGTGATGTGATTATACATAAGACAGGCACAATGCTAGCAACAGGACAGGGCCCAGGAGCCACACCGTCGGGACCGGGAAGCGTTACGATGGGGACGGTGTGCGGGGACCGGGATCGCTGCGGGTGCGGAACCGGGCGGGAGGGGACGGGGAGGAGCAACAAACTCGGGGTTCAAACTCAAAATACCTGTCAGGAGGGGGGCACGGCGGGCGCCCCGAAATGAAACGGAACCGACACCGGAGCTGGGACGGTGCGGGAGTGGAGCGAAGCTGCGGTGACCCCACGCGGGACCGGGATGAGACTGATCCCCCAGGAGCTGCCTCCATCCTTCCCTCTCTGCCCCCCCGTGTGACACAAACCCAGCTGTGGCACCCAGCTCCTCGCTCACGGCTCCCCCACTGCCCGAGCCCACAGCGAGGGCACAGCTCCAGCCCAGCTCCAGCTGAACAGCCTCACCCCGAAGGGCATCCGAGTGCTCCGGGAATTCTGCTCCTGCTCAAAGCATCGGGGACTCTTCCCCTCCCTGCCCTCGCCACACACACCAGGGTGTGCACAAGGTGCTTCCCAACTCCCACCCCTGCCACGCCGAGCGTGGAGCAGCCACAAGGTCCCTCCTTTCCCCCTGCCAGAGCCACGGCTGCTCCAAACCAGGGGAGAAGGGAGGGAGAGGTGTCCCCAGGGGCAGAGCGAGGATCAGGGAGGGACAGAATCCCCCCCTTTGGATACCTGGAACTACAACCTGGGGCAGGAAAACGCAGCAGGGTGAAGTGCAGGTGGGCACTCTGCAGGTGAGGACAGCCAGACAGTGAAGGTTGCAATCCCAAGACATCACTTTTCACCACTAATTTCACTCCACTAAAACCTTTCAGGGTGGGGGGAGTGGGTTAAGAGAAAATGACACCCTTTTGGTGGGAAAAACTATCCCCGAAATCTGCTAGTCAGCTAAATCCTGTGCTCTAGTTTTATACACCTAAAAGAGGGAGGGAAGGGGAGGGGGTCTGGTGGGCTGTCAACCTCCCGAGGCTTCACTCCGCTGGGAGGAATCTGGGGGCTCATTCATGTGACGAGGAAACATGGAGAAGGAAAAAAAAAAATCAAAAAAAAAAGGAAAAAAAAAAAAAAAAAGAAAAAAAAAAGAAAACAAAAAACAGTTTCTAAACTCCTTAAATTCACTAAAAACTGTGAAAATTCCCGGCAGGATGTTTGAATATCAAACGCAGATTTTGGAAGCTTTAATGCCAAGAGTTAGTTCTGTGTGTTGGTTTGCTCATGTCTCCCCGTGTGTCTCTATCTGTGCGCTGGCCGCAGGACTGCGGAGCAGGAGGAGGAGGAGGAGGAGGAAGAGGAGGAGGAAGAGGAGGAGGAGGAGGAAGGGGGGGCCAGCGGGGTTCGGCTCTTGAGGCTGGGCAGGCTGGGCGAAGCCGAAGTGCCATCGCATTCCCGGGAGGATTTGCTGCCCGACGTGCGGCGGGTGCAGCGCGAGAGCCGGTCCTGGGGGTCGGGCTGCTCCTCGCACTCCGTCCGGGGGTCGTAGGAGAGCGGGAAGGTGCGGCGCTCCCAGGGCTGCACGGCCTGGGGAAGAGAGCCGAGTCACGGAGAATCCCTGCAAAGCCTGCTGTCCTCGCTCCCTGCACGGATCCGGAGCCCGGAGCTGCTCCCGGGGCGCGTTCCCAGGCTCGGAGCACTCCGGGAAGCTTCGGACACGGAGACAGCAGCTGGCAGCGCCTCCCGCTGCCCGACCCCACCCGGGCCAGCGCTCCAGCAGCGCCCGCAGGCGGCTCCCAGCCTGCCTGCCCATGCCAGGGTCACCTGTGGTGCCACAGCTGCCTGCCCATGCCAGGGTCACCTGTGGTGCCACAGCTGCCTGCCCATGCCAGGGTCACCTGTGGTGCCACAGCTGCCTGCCCATGCCAGGGTCACCTGTGGTGCCACAGCTGCCTGCCCATGCCAGGGTCACCTGTGGTGCCACAGCTGCCTGCCCATGCCAGGGTCACCTGTGGTGCCACAGCTGCCTGCCCATGCCAGGGTCACCTGTGGTGCCACAGCTGCCTGCCCATGCCAGGGTCACCTGTGGTGCCACAGCTGCCTGCCCATGCCAGGGTCACCTGTGGTGCCACAGCTGCCTGCCCATGCCAGGGTCACCTGTGGTGCCACAGCTGCCTGCCCATGCCAGGGTCACCTGTGGTGCCACAGCTGCCTGCCCATGCCAGGGTCACCTGTGGTGCCACAGCTGCCTGCCCATGCCAGGGTCACCTGTGGTGCCACACCAGTGTCCCCACACAGGGTCACCTGCAGTGCCACACCAGTGTCCCCACACAGGCTCACCTGCAATGCCATGCCTGTGTCCCCACACAGGGTCACCTGCAGTGCCACACCAGTGTCCCCACACAGGGTCACCTGCAGTGCCACAGCTGTGTCCCCACACAGGGTCACCTGCAGTGCCACACCAGTGTCCCCACACAGGGTCACCTGCAGTGCCACACCAGTGTCCCCACACAGGGTCACCTGTGGTGCCACACCTGTGTCCCCACACCAGGGTCACCTGTGGTGCCACAGCTGCCTGCCCATATCAGAGTCACCTGTGGTGCCACAGCTGTCCCCCCGTATCAGTCACCTGCAGTGCCACACTTGTGTCCCCACACCAGGGGTCACCTGCAGTGCCACACTGTGTCCCCACACCAGGGTCACCTGTGGTGCCACACCAGTGTCCCCACACAGGGTCACCTGCAGTGCCACACTTGTGTCCCCACACCAGAGTCACCTGCGGTGCCACACCAGTGTCCCCACACAGGGTCACCTGCAGTGCCACAGCTGTGTCCCCACACAGGGTCACCTGCAGTGCCACACTTGTGTCCCCACACCAGAGTCACCTGCGGTGCCACACCAGTGTCCCCACACAGGGTCACCTGCAGTGCCATGCCTGCCAGCACCCACCTGCTCGTCCAGGCCGGCCTCGGGCGTGGAGCAACGCGTGTCCTCGCTGGACAGGAGCCGCAGGGAGTCCCGGGACAGGGGGGTCAGGGGGGCACAGAGCAGTTCGGGGCTGATGGGGCTGCGTGGTGAGTGGGTGTGGGACAGCTCCAAGTGGGAGTGGTAGTTGCCCACCTCAGGGGACGCTGGCTGGGGAGTCGAGGGGTTCCCCAGCTGGGGGGTCGTCCGTCCGTCTGTTGATCTGTAGGACCTGAGACAGGAGCAGGTTTGAGAGGCCAGCCATGCTCCCCCACTGCTGCCTGATCCTGCCCTGATGGGAACTCGAGCAGGGAATGCCACAGCCCAGAGACCATCCCTGTCTATTTCCACCACCTGGATGCATCACTGGTGCTGCTCTCCTGAGGTTCGAGTCCCACACATCTCCTACACTCCCAGTGCTGCACGAACACCATGATAAGAAGCTCCCTATGGAATCAAGGCACTTCCAAGTGTTTCCCCCTCCTCACACCAGCTCAGGGACTGAGTGCAGGGAATCAGTAATGCTGGAAATGCAGCAATTTCAGCAGCTGGGAGCAGGAGGAGCACAGTGAAACCCCGAGACCTCAGATTTAAACCAAGAATTACCAAAGTCTGAACCCCGACACAGAGTCCAGGTAAAAACCCACAGGCTACAAGTAGAAAAACATAACTGAGTTCCCAAATCCACGTGCAACTCTCAAGATGAACTGCAACAGCAAGTGGCTATCAAGGACTTCAGATGTAAGAAATGGGCTAAAGAAACAGCAAAACATCCCACTCTCCAGGAGCACTGGAACTGCAGCTGCAGAGGAATAGCAGCAGCACAAGGGGGGTTTGACACAGGCCAGGTTTGCACCTGCAGGAAGCCCCCCAATGGCACTGACTGGGCAGAACTGAAACCAAAGCAGCATCAAGGGCAGGGACAGAGCTGTGGCTCTGCCCCAGAACAAAGTGACTCCAGGCAACCAAACCCTTGGTGATGGAACAGAGAAGAGCAAATCTCTCCTTGAGCAGGTTTATGATGAGATCAACAGCTGGAAACAGTGGTGGTTTTAGACACCCACTCATAAAGACACAGCAGAAAGGGAACTGAGTGTCCAGTGACAGTGTCCCTGATCCTGCAGAACGATGCCATTGCAAGCTCTGTGCCTTCCCCTGGGCTG